ACATATTAAAGGCAGGGCGCTCCAGAAAATAGCCTTCGACATGCACCTCTTTCCTGCAGCGAGGATCAAAAACAAGCAAACTCGATCAGCAGGTGAACCCTTAATTGGAACACAAGGCCCTTTTTGGTTGACCATTTTCAACGTGCAGACAAGTGGGTGGCAAACAAATGCATCAAGGGACATGTCGGGATCCAGCATAAACTCTTTCAGGATCTGGAACCTAGGTTGAGTTGCAACTTGTTCTCAATCTACATCAGGCTGATACATCCAAGGGGCTTTTTTCCATGGGCCCCTGCGAGGCTGTGGTACTTTGCGACCAAACCCTCTGGCAGGCCGACTGGATTGTTCATACGCCGTTCCATGGCATTGTACCACATCCGCCTTTCCTGCAGATGACAAGTTTCAGAACTATAAAGGTAGTGCGCAATGTAATGAAAGCCGGCCTTGTTCGGAAGCTCATTCGGTGAATTGAGCTCTTTGATCTTCGCCTTCGCTTCCTCAGTGAGAACTTTGACCTTGGTTCGGCACTCAAAGAAAGGTTGCACGAGCTCACTCATATTTAGTGCAGCAAAGGAGCCCGACGAACTTTTCCATCTGGGCCCCGCTCCGAGATCCCGATGCTGCTGATCTCCTCATCGCAGCCATCCTTGGGTGTAAAGATTTGTAGAAGAAGGCGAAAAACATGCTGGCACAATGGGGAAACTAGCATTGTTAATGTGATCTTTTGAGGATTCCCTCGCAAATTGTTATTTTGAGGGGTGGTGAGAACTGCAAACAAATCCCAAAAAATACTGAAGGCCAACATCATGTTGGCAGAATGTGGTAACAAGTAGGTTTGGGTATGTGACGTTTTGAAGTTCCATCCCCCTGCCCTCCATGCAGAAAAGCCGCGGTGGCCAAGGAAACCGACGTCAAGCCTCTCCTCAAGCTCTTCGAAGAAGCTGGGCTTGGTTCAGCGACGGGTGTCCCACAGCCTTAGCGTTTCGGGTGGATCCAAAACTGGTTTCCCTTTCCCCAGACACGAAACTGTTGGTTCTCCCTTGTGGCTTCCCTTCAAAAGGATACCCTCAAGGAAAAACACCCAACATGTGTTTGTCTTGAAATAGGGTGGCCCCAAAACCCCAAAACTGTTCGTTCACCTTTGGCACCCCGCCCCATGAGCTTACCCATGTCCTTTCTTAGGGGAACCCTGTTGGAGAATGGGTAAAAGGGAAACCACACAGGAAAACAATTTTAGAACCTCTCTTCAAAAGAACGGTTTAAAATGAAAGCACGTGGGAAAACCATGAGTGCATGTTGGAGTCCCATGTTGGTTTGTCTTTCGGGGTACCCTTTTGGGAATGTTTCAAGACAAACCCATGTTAGCGTGCCCCTAATCTCCACTTCAAGGTGGGTGTGTCTCCAAATTGAGGGAACTCCTAAACAGTGTCCCTCCAGTTTGCATTGAAACCACTCTCCCAACAACGCCTCGTAAAAACAAAAAACACTGTTGTTAGTATGTTTCCTAGTTTCCCGTATGTAGTGTAGTGCGCCCGACATGATGAATAAGACATGTGACAATCAGCCCAGTCTTCGTCATAGAGACCATTCCCCCATCCATCCTCACCATCTTGCCAGTGTTGCATCTTGTCCCAGCGACCGCACGAGGGCTCATAGGCGTCGTAGGTGTCCCACTCAGGGTCGCGTTGGGTCGACTTGGGTGTTTTTAGGATGGGGCTTGCCGCAGAGCAGAGCTAAACGAAAGCTTCTTCTTAACTCTTTGGTCTTTTCCTCTCGCATTGGTTTCCTCCTTTGGCTCCTCTTGGTTCTTTGCTTTCTTTCTCTCCTTCGGCTTTTCCTCCTCCTCTTCTTCTTCCTCCTCTTCTTTTGCTTCTGGCTCCTCTTGTCGAGCACGCGTCTTTGCCTTTGGCTTCTCCTCATCTTCATCGTTTAGCTCCTCCTCCCTGCGCTTTTTCCGGCCCTTCTTCTTATCCTCAATTTCCTTCTCTTCTTCATCTGGCTCCTCTTCTCTGTGTTTCTTCTGGGCCCTTTTCTTATCCTCCTTTGGCTCTTCTTCTTTGTTCTTTTTTCGGCCCTTTGGCTTCTCCTCCTGTTCTTCACTTGGCTCTTCTCCTCGTGTTTTTTTCCGGGTCTTTGGCTTCTCCTCCTCTTCTTCACTTGGCTCTTCTCGCTTTTTCTTCCGGGTCTTTGGCTTCTCCTCCTTGTCTTGACCTCCCAGGTCTTTTAAAAGCTCCTCGACCTCGGCACCCAGCAGGGCCATCGAGGCTTGCTTGGCGTCTTCTCCTTTTCCCTTGCCTTTGCCCTTCTTACCTTCTCCTTTTGGGCTCGCGCCTGCTCCTTTGCCCTTGCCTTCTCCTTTCGGGCCCTTCCCATCTCCTTTGCTCTTGCCTTCTCCTTTTGGGCTCGCACCCCCTTCTCCTTTGCCCTCGCCTTCTCCTTTTGGGCTCATGCCCCCTTCTCCTTTGCCCTTCTTGCCCCCTTCTCCTTTGCCCTTCTTGCCTTCTCCTTTTGGGCTGCCCTTGCCTTCTCCTTTCGGGCTCTTCCCTGCTTCTCCTTTGCCCTTCTTGCCTTCTCCTTTTGGGCTCATGCGGGCTCTTCCCTTCTCCTTTGCCCTTCTTGCCCCCTTCTCCTTTGCCCTTCTTGCCTTCTCCTTTTGGGCTCATGCCCCCTTCTCCTTTGCCCTTGCCTTCTCCTTTCGGGCTCTTCCCGGCTTCTCCTTTGCCCTTCTTGCCTTCTCCTTTTGGGCTCATGCCCCCTTCTCCTTTTCCTTTGCCCCTGCCTCCTCCTTTGCCCTTCCCTTCCGCCTTTGCCCTTGCCACCCTTTCTTGGTCTTTCTTCTTCTCAATCGGTTTCATGAAAATGTGCATTGCTGGGGCTACATGAGACAACCCTCAAATTGCTGCAAGCAAGCGCCTTCTGAGCCATCACTTTCTTCTGCCTGCCAGCCAAGGACCGATCAAATCGATGTGTGGTGGAAACTTGGCTTGGGTTCTGGGAGGGCGGCCTAGGGCATGTGGCACAGCAACCCGGGGTGAGGCCCGCTGCAAGCCACATCAAACAGGCATCACGTTTGGCCCAAAATGTGGGCCCCCCCTTGTCACGGTTTGTCACGGATTTTTGTGTCCTATAGTAGCCTGGTCTCGGCCTGTCACGGGTTGTCACGGGTTCCAGGTTTCTGCGTTTTTCCACTCATGTTTGTCAAAAAAGGAGACATGCCAGGGCATGCCAGGCGAGCACACTGCAAAACATCAAAAAAACACACCCATCAACCCGATCAGGACCGTGAGACCCTTCGACTGTGATAAAAATGAGACACAGAAACATCGGTGTGACAAAAACCGTGAAACATCAGCGTGACAAAACGTGACAAAGCGTGACAAACCGTGACAAAGCGTGACAAAGCATGACAAAGCATGACAAAGCGTGACAAACCGTGACAAAGCGTGACAACAAGCGTGGCAAAGCGTGACAACAAGCGTGGCAAAGCGTGACAAAGCGTGACAACAAGCGTGACAAAGCGTGACAAAGCGTGACAAAGCGTGACAAAGCGTGACAAAGCATGACAAAGCGTGACAAACCGTGACAAAGCGTGACAAAGCGTGACAAAGCGTGACAACAAGCGTGACAAAGCGTGACAAAGCGTGACAAAGCGTGACAAAAAGCGTGACAAAAAGCGTGACAAAGCGTGACAAAGCGTGACAAAGCATGACAACGCGTTACAAAGCGTGACAAACCGTGACAAACCGTGACAAAGCGTGACAAACCGTGACAAAGCGTGACAAACCGTGACAGACCGTGGCAATCCGTGACAGCTGAGCAAGCTGTGACAAACCATGACAACAACTGCAACGCTGACAGACCGTGACAAACCATGACCGTGGCAATTCGTGACGAACCGTGGCAAACCAACCCGTGACAACCCGTGACAAAGCGACAGACCGTGACAGACCCTGAGAAAGCGTGACAGACCGTGACAAGTCGTGACAAACCGAGACTTTAACACCATATCAATCGTTTAAACAAGTATATGTGAACAACCACCGATGCACGAACAATAGCTATGCATGTGTCGCAACCTATGAATGCGCACCGCCTTCTCTCCCTCATGATCAATGCTGCAGACCTATGCATTGAACTCCCCTAGCCCTGAATCACTAGTGTCCTCTTCGGTGTCACAGAAGAGAACCCCCTCATCGTTTACCGGGTTGAGATTGCCAAGGCCTCTCAAGTGCTCGTCAAGGAGCGAAGCCACCTGGTTCTGTTGCACATGTACTGCTTTCTTAGCTGAACTGGCATGACAACGCATGCGTTAAATATTGCCAAAGGACTTTCCATGCCAACCCCCAAGGATAAACCTGCGAAGAGCGAAGGCTCTTTGTGCCCACCTTGGATCGTTGCTTGCAAGTTGCAGGCCACCCTCAAACCGATTAGTTTGGAAGTGGCCCTGAAAATCATTTGCAGCCATGAAGCCAATTATTTTGTGAAGTGGCCTTGAAACCCGTTTGGAAGATCAGAGGGTTTGGAAGTGGCCTTGAAACCGTTCAGTTTTGAGGCAGTGGCCTTGAAACCGTTCAGTTTTGAGGCAGCCCTCAAACTGTTTCAAAACAGCCCTCAAAGGAGGGTTTGGAAGTGGCCTTGAAACCGTTCAGTTTTGAGGCAGCCCTCAAACTGTTTCAAAACAGCCCTCAAACTGGAGGATGCCACCCTCAAAGCAGAGAGGGTTTGGTTTTGAGGCAGCCCTCAGAACCGGAGGGTTTGGAAGTGGCCTTGAAAGCATTACTCTTGAGGCACGCAGCCCTCAAACCGGAGTGGCCTTACCAATCTGCAGTTTTGATGCGGCCCTCAAACCAGAGGGTTTGGACATGGCTGTGAAATCATGTGGTTTGGCGGCAGCTCTCAAAAAAATAGTTTGGAAGCAGCCTTGAAATCATTTCATTTGGAGACAGCCCTCAAACCAGATCCTGAGTTAGTTTGGAGGTGGCCCGGAATTAAAGGCTGGTTCAAAAAGGCTCTTGCGAAGTGAAAGGCCAAGCGTCCACACGTAAGTCCCCGCGCTTATCCACGTAGCGCCGCACGAGCTTGAGGTTGAGCTGAGATCGTATGGATCGAAGCTGATCTCGCCTTTCAACTGTCACGACCTCTCCGAGCTGGCGCAGGAATGGACTAGTTGTCCATATCACCACAGGCTTCCTTAGCTCCAGGCAAACCAATTCAATTTCAAGCGCATGTTCAAATGCAAAGCAGCAAGGTGGGGGCGCCAAAGGCGCCGAGGTAAATATGAACTCGCACAGCTCCATGTCGACGTAGAAGTTTCTGGCCAAGGCAGCGCGTGTCTGTTATAAACACATGCGGCAGGAGCCTTGAACGGCTTGTACTCCGGCATCAGGCTAGATGCGGGCTGCTCCACCGCGTAGAACAAACCTCGCCTGAAGGCAAACTCCAGCCTCGACGGGGCACGCGCGGGTCGCAAAACCAACGCACACGCATGATCCATGCAAATTGTGGCTCAAGAAAAAGGGTGCGCCAGAAGTGCGCCGACCGACGATAGGTTTAGGGTTTCTTGGCTTTTCTGCCAAGCCGCGCATAGCATAGTCTTCGCACCAAGCGATTCTGGGCACGAACTTTCTTGTTCTTGTTTGATCCTTTGGGCCGCAGACAGCACCGCCCCGTTGAGCTCCGGCTGAGATACACCCAGCTGCTGCAAGGTGGTCCTTGGGAAGTGGCATGTGGGAAGGAGAAGAAAGTTTGACTAATATTTGACAGACACATGCAAGCCTGTCCTGCCCACAGAAGACCACCCTAGCAGGCTACACGGAAGCTAAAAAATGCAGTGGCCAAATATGAAAAGCCAGGCCTGACAGACTCTGCGGCATGCATCTAATGCGCAAAGTAGGCCCATGCTCGTCAATAAGTTATGGGAACGCGAGAAAGACACCTTGGATGTGAGCGACAAACACAGAAGCAGATTCAATGGACTTCGTGCAATCCCGTGGCATCGTGCGCTAAGGCTCGCCATCCTTTGGCCTTCACAGCATCGGAGAGGCGGTGCCGTCCTCAGCTCGGAGCAATAAAGGGACGGTTTTGAAACAAAACCAGTCCACATTGCTGTTGGATTGTTGGGAATGTTGCGAATACTGTTTGCTGCAGAGAAGTCACTCCAATAGGAGAGGAATTCTTGAACAAAATCCAGTGTAAGCCCCTGTTTGCAAAGCCACCTCAAACGAGACTGAAAAGGGCACTTCAAACAAAAAACTCAAAACATATTTTGCATCCAAAGCTGGCACATCACTTGGGCGTTCACCAGCGCAGAGCTCAAAGAAGTGGATCATTTTGTCGTCCGCAATGGTTCCAAAACCTGGGCGGCTCGTTCGCTTCCAACGCATTGACTAATCTCTGACAATCGGAAACAACGTGAAGACTTGCACACAGGCAAATTACTAAGACCGAAGCTGATCAGAAGGGAGGTGACAATTGCTGCCAGCTCCGAATATCTCATCGCGAACGCAAGCACGAAGCTTTAACGTGCCCGAATGAAGCTAAAAAAAGCTGCAGATGTTGACTCAAGCACGGAGGTCCTGGACAACGGAGAGGTAACTGCCGTCACAGCAGGACAGCTGGCCCTCGCTCTGACGCCCTACGCCCAAGTAACTGACCTGGCGGTGAGGCAGCCTCCGGCAACAACGCTGCTGCCATCCAGTCCCTGGACGACCGAGTCACCGCCGAGCTGGCCTCAAAGCTGGACAGCAGCGCGCTGGCGCCGGCAATCGCGCCTCTGGCCACGGCGGCGGCCCTGGCCACCACGGACGGACAGGTGGCCGCGCACGGAAGCAGCATCGCAGCGCTGCAGAGCTCGCTGACCACGGAGGCAGACCAGTCGGCCTTCGACGTGCTGGAGGGCGTGGTGGCCACGAAGAGCACCCCGGACGGCGTGGACCTGAAGCTGTCCAACTACAGCACCACGGTGGCCATGAACGGCTCCATCGCCTCGGCCAACAACGCCACGCTGGCCACGGTGGCCGCCAACTACGGTCTCAAGACGGTGGTGGACCAGCACTCCCTAGACATAGCGGCGAGGATCACGCCGCTGGAGGTCGACACCAAGGTGGCCAACGCTCTCCTGGGGGCTGTCACTGCCGCGAGACGCCTCCATCTCGGGGCTGCAGGCCTCCAAGGCGGACACCAGCGCCCTGACTGCTGTCGGCCGTCGACACTTCCTCTGAGGTGGACTCTAAGATAGCGGCCTCTTGGGCGCAGTCACCACGGCAGCCCTGGACGCCGCCCTCCTCGGCAAGGCGGACGCAAGCGCGCTGGCCTCCCTGCTCTCCACGGTGGACGGGTTGGACACGCCGCTGGAGGTAGACACCAAGATAGCAAATGCCCTGCTGGGTCTCGCCACCGAGGCCTTCGTCGCAGCGCAGCTTGCTAGCCGGGACGCCAGCATCACGGCGCTCCAGGGGGCCAAGGCCGACGCGACGCTGCCCAGAGCGCCCTCGACGCAATCCTCGCGGAGCTCGCCGCCCTGCAGCTTTCCGGCAGCGGCGGAGTTGTTAACGCGCCGGCCTTCACGACTTGGGAGCTCGTTCGCGGAAGCAACGTCGTTCGGAACCTGCATCTGGGGGCTCCTCTCTCTGCTGCGCTGGCCAACGGCGACGACACGCTGAGCATCACGGCAGACTGCTACTCCATCGCAGCGTCGGACGCGGCCCTCGCGGCTGCGCTGCTGGCCTACTACACCTCGGCGCAAGTGGACGCGCTGTTGGGAGACTACCGCACAGGGGCAGCGCAGGACGCGGAGACGACCAGCGCCATCTCGGCCGCGCTGCTGGCCTACTACACCTCGGCGCAAGTGGACGCGCTGTTGGGAGATTACCGCACGGCAAGCGCGCAGGACACGCAGACGCAGGCCGCCATCGCAGGCGCGATGCTGGCCTACAGGACGGGCCGGACCAGGACGTGTTCACAACCAACCAAATCACCTCTGCGCTGGCGGCGTACCGCTCAGCCGCCGACCAGGACACGGCAACGGCCTCGAGCATCGCAGCCGCGCTGCTCAGCTACTACACCATCGCACAGGTGGACGGCCTCCTTGCCGGCAAGCTCGGCGTCACGGAGGCGGCCTCGGCCCTGCAGATCGCCGTGCGCTTTCCGGACGACGGAGGGGCCGACGAGCGCCATTGGGCCCCACGGACGTCTCACTGTCAAACTGGACGGTTCGCCCCAGCAGCGGCTGCAGCGTGGCCCTGGCCACGCACACCGCGGGCGCAGTGAGCGTGGACGGCTACACCCTGACCCTGGCGGTGAACCCGGGAACATCGTGCGCACCTACAACTTGACCCCGGGCGAGAGCTCCTCTTCGCCTGCCGGCACCGGCTCGGCGCGGCCTCCAACTTCGTGGCGCACATGTCCGAGGCAGACAACGTCTACGACCCCCTGTACGGCAGCTTCGTGGCGACCAGGGTGCCTGGAGCACGGCCAAGATGTACTTCACAGTGCCTCCGAACGGGGTGGCGAAGCTGCACTTTCCAGGCCTGCCCAACCAGACAGCAGGAACGGTGGACGTCTGGCCTCCAGATCCTTGACGCAACCCTGGAGGCCGGCAACACGGCGAGGTGAGGAGGACACGGCGGCCTCGGCCCTGCTGCTGAAGCTGGAACATCGCGCGCACCTACACGCTGACCCGGGGTGGGCCTGCTGAGCTCAGCCACCGGAATCACGGGCAGACGTTGACCATCAACAACACGGCCAACGCCGGGAACTTCACCGCGGTGGGCGACGTGCCACAGGCACGCTGACGGCCTCGGGCGCAGCAACCGGCGAGCTTCGCAGCCACCGGGGCGCTCACGGGGCTGACCATCGCGGGGCGGCCTGCGGGCCCGCTGGACTGCGAGAGTCTGGACTGCACCTTTACGGCCACGAGCGGCGAGTGTCGACGGGAGTCTGGCGACGTGACAAGCTCGGTCTCCGCGCCGCAGCTCTTTGCCTCCAACACGCTCTGAAGAAGTGAGCGGGCTGGAGCACAGATTTCCAACAACAGCGGCCTCCGACAGCGGCCCGGAGCGCGGCTGCTGGGCAACCAGAGCGCCAGGGTCTTCCTGGAGCGGGACGGTGGGACGCACCAGTGCGAGCTCATCATGATCAACCTCTCTCTTTAGAGGGCGTTTCCCAAATGGATTCTATTCTACCTGAGAGGCTCCTAGCACTCGTCCGTCCAGCATTTGACCTCGTCCTGCGAAGGATTCAAAGTCTAAAACGCTGCGCGCAGGCGTGTGGCTGCAAAATAATGACCCCTAGATATGCTTGCAATTTGGCTCCAGGTTGCATTTCAAGCGAGCCAACCTTTGCAGGGCTAAGAAAAAAAAAAAAAAAAGAAAACAAGGGGTCCCAAAAAAAGGGGTCCCCGAAAAAAAGGGAAAAGGGGTTTCCTTTGGCAAAGCTTGACATCGCTTGAAATGCAACCTGGAGCCAAATTGCGGCGCATATCTAGGGGTCATTATTTTGCAGCCACACGCCTGCACGCAGCGTTTTAGACTTCAAATCCTTCGCAGGACGAGGTCAAATGCTGGACGGACGAGTGCTAGGAGCCTCTCAGGTAGAATAGAATCCATTTAGGAAACGCCCTCTAAAGACAGAAAAAAAAACGGGAATGCAGGGAATCCCTGCAGAATCCCTGCGTTGAACTCCCCAGGTAGAATAGAATCCATTTGGGAAACGCCCTCTAAAGAGAGAGCTTCAACACAAGTGCCACTTGTGTTCACATTCCTGCCGCGCCAAGCCGCTGAACCCCCACAGTCTCCGGGCTCCTTGCTATATGTGCTGTATGTGCTATATGGGTCTTACACGCCAAGCCGCTGAACCCCCACAGTCTCCGGGCTCCTTGCTATATGTGCTATATGTGCTATATGGGTCTTACACGCCAAGCCGCTGAACCCCCACTCTCCCCCAGCTCCTTGCTATATGTACTATATGTGCTATATTATTCTGTACGCGCGAAAATCTGTAGTATATGTGCTATATAGGGCCATATAGCACATATAGCACGTATAGCAAGGACCCGGGGGAGAGTGGATGTTCAGCGGCTTGCCTTGTGAGACCCATATAGCACATATAGCACATATAGCAAGGAGCCGGGGGAGAGTGGATGTTCAGTGGCTTGCCTTGTGAGACCCATATAGCACATATAGCACGTATAGCAAGGACGCGGGGGACTGTGAGGGTTCGGCGGGTTGGCGCTCCGTACGCGCCGCATTTTGCATGGTTTTTGCATGGTTTTTGCATGGTTTTTGCATTACATGTGGAACAGCTTGCTTTTTTGCACGGTTTTGCATGCGGTTTTTTACATGGCACGTGGAACAGCTTGTTTTTTGCATGACACGTGGAACAGCTTGTTTTTTTGCATGACACGTGGAACAGCTTGCACGTTTTTTCGCACGGTTTTACATGTGCATGTGGTTCAACCCCAAAGTGCCCCCCCTGTTTTTTTCCTGTCAGGCTGCCGTACGTAGGTCGGACATCCTGGAGAACTTCGCGAGGCAGGGCGGTGCCGAGCGGGCACCTAGGTAAATGTGCCGAGCAGGCACAGTGCCGAGCAGGCACTTAAGTAGACGTGCCGAGCAGGCACAGTGCCGAGCAGGCACTTAAGTAGACGTGCCGAGCAGGCACAGTGCCGAGCAGGCACTTAAGTAGACGCGCCGAGCAGGCACAGTGCCGAGCAGGCACAGGCACCCCGGCGCCGAGCTGGCACCGTGGGGGTGCCAGTGCCGAGCAGGCAC